ATTATCACTATACACGTGCGTACTCTGTACATAAATATCCTCTTATACGGTGGTTTACTCTACTAATTCTCTCCTCCCTCAATCTTTCACTCCTATCACTTTCTCCTCTCCCTGGTTGCTTTATAGGATTTATCTGAGGGTGGATTGGTCCTTCTGCTACAGTGAAAATGGCGGGACATTTCCTGCCTTCACATGTGCAGGGGGAGACCTGAGCTGTTGTGTGGTGAACTCCACTTCTCTGGGTTTCTATTGAGCTTTCCATGTGAGGACCGTTTGTGATGGCCTTTTTATACCTCCACTCGAACTAAGGATTCAGTAGTTGGAGCGTTAAGTTTGCTTGAGAGAACCCAGATGCTGGGAGAAATCTAGTGAGTATGTCTGTAATTTGATCTTGATGTGGTGAGGGAGAAACTCTGCATGTTTGATGTCGTCCCAAATAAAGTAATAATCCACTTCAATATGTTTGGTTATTGAATGAAATATTGGATAATGTGTGAGGGCTATGGCAGATGTATTGTCACTGTATAGATCTGTGGGTGGAAGCGTGTCTGGAGAAGTTCTTGCAACAGTATTGGAGCAAGAGGATGTATGTGGTTAATGAGGCCAATGCACGATATTCTGCTTTTGTCGATGAATTGGGTACTGTTGGCTGTTTTTTGGCTGACCATGAGATTGGATTAGTCCCGACAAAAATACAAAAACCGGTGATGATCCATCGTCGAGGTCGGTAGCCCAGCCTACGTTGATGTTGATGTAGGTATTGAGAGTTAAGTCCCCTGAGTTGATTGGTAAACCATGGTGTCGTGTGTCATTTAGGTATCTCAACAGTCTTTTGAGGAGTTGTGTGGTGAGTGAGTGGTTGGTGCATGTGTTGACGGAGGAAATTAATTGTGAAAGTGAAGAGAGGCGAGCGAAGATGAGGTATTAAGTGAGCCAAATATGCGGCGGAAGATTGTTGGGTTGTCTACTGTTGTGGAGTTGGTAGAGGGGCTAGTGAAGGGAAGAGGGGTGATGATGGGCTTGGAATTTGGCATGTCTGTTTGGCGGAGGATGTCAAGGAGGTACTGAGTTTGTTCAATGAAATATCCAATGTGTGTGTGATGGACTTGCAGTCCTAGGAAGTGCGAGATGGGGCCAAGTTGGTTGATACTGAATTGGTTTTTGTGGTAAGCTCCACTACTGTGGTTTTCTGTTGAGCTTATGGGAACCATTTGTGATGACCTATGTATGCATTTAAGCTCTTATGTATATATAATGATCTTTATGCTAATAATTTATATGTTTTTTGGTTAGAATAAAACAAATATTATTGTGCTAATTAGTGCATTATTCTCGAACCTAGCATAATCACAATAATCACTATATTATTGCTTGAAGTTGGACACATCATGTAACTCTTGGTGTAATTTGTTTAATTAGATTTAATAATGAAATTGAGTTGAACATTAAAATTGAGATTTGTGGTAAATCATTTACTCACAAAGTTTAGCTACATATTTCCATTGTAGTTGTCTTTTGTGTTACTTGTAAAATTTTATAAGATTACAAACACTTGTCTTCTAATATTAGTAAATACAAGCTTTTGTATTGTGGTTAATCACTTAAACAATACAATTGTATTGATATAAGTGGTGGTTATTTTGATGTGATAGGAAAGATTGGGGTGGTAAGAATGTAAAAAAGTAAAGTTGAAGTGTTAGATATGTAAATACATAGGAATTAAGAGGCATGTATGTAAATGCCCCTTTAATTATATGTCTACATTGTAGTTATTGTCAACTCTCTGAGATGTAGGATTATATAAGCCTAAAAGTGTGTCTTCTAATATTAGTGAGTCTAATCATTTAAACATTCGTTAATCACGTCGAGAATCAATTTTTATCAATATACACACATATATATGTATATTTTAATTCCAACACAAGTAGACTAGATCATGTAACTAGTTGACATAGGGTCTGTTTAGGGCGGTTGTTGTTCTTTAAAGAAGCAGTTGTGCAGCTGTTGAAGAAAAAACTGTCGTTCAAAAAGCTGTAGTGGCTATCATAGATTTTTTTTTTTTTTTTTAAAAAAACAAACCGCGGCTTT